CCTTTTCGCGGGCTCGAACCCGCGACCTCTGTACTACCTGCCTAATATGGACGCGTCACTATCTACTGTACGATTAGATTAGATGGGGCGGCAGCGCACGGCACAGCTCGGGCCCCGCTGACACAGCCGCTCTGACTCACCGGCCCCCGGGGCCGCGTCGGCATGCTGCGCACAGACCAGCTGCGCACGGACCAACGTGCACAGCCTGCCCTAATCCCCCCATGTATATAAGCCGGCCTCTGCTGCCCTAGGGACCTCAGTTTCGACCTCTTGTCCCTAGGTCAGTAAGCCCCAGTTGTATCCTTTACTTACCTTCACTAACTAATACATTTCTTGTCCCTAGCCTTAGGTTTGAGCCTCGCTCACCATCGCTTCGGTAAGAACCAGTCGGACGCCCCTCGCTTCCAGATATTCCCCTGTCGCTCGACCTCAAGTCGCGACACTGGCTCCTCGCGATACTCCAACGTGCCTAAATAAATGAGACATGTTTCTGATTCCGCAATCTCTTTGACTCGCTCAGGCTGTACAAGGTCCCATGAGGCCCAGGGTGGGTACGTTCGGAATATTCCAAGAATGGGCCGTCGAGTCGAGGGACACACAATCTGCGAATTGTGCCGAAATACAAGATGTGCCTGCTCAGGATCATAGGCAGGCCCAATTCCGTGCGCAACGACGGGCTCAAAGATGAACGTCTGGTCGGGGCTGGCGGGCGACTCAAAGTGCAGCATGAAGAAAAGGATCCGTACGCGTCTGATCTCCTTCCCCATGGGGAAGCGCCCGGTGCTCCTCTGCAACCAGCTACTATGCTCGTCCGTTCTTCCCTTCGTCCGGTCCTCACCTCATGTCGTGCGCGCGGCCAACGACTCATTCAAACAGCTGCAACAACAGCCTCAGCTTATCTCGAACGGCCTGCGACGCACCCCGGCGTGACATATCTCTCGCTCAACCGCCCGCAAGCCAAGAACGCCATCTCGCTCAGGCTCCTTGAGGTGCCCGTCGTCCTCTTTGCATCCCTCGCGCCCATGCCACATACTCGTGCTCCAGGAGTTCCGTCAGTGCCTCGATGAAGTGCAGTTCGACAAGGGGTGAGCAGGTACTACTGCGTGGCCTGCAGGATCGCACTCACCAAGCTGCCCAGCGCGCGCGTCCTCGTCCTCCGTTCGTCTACGTCTGGCGCATTCTGTGCTGGCGCCGATCTCGTTGAGCGGCGCTCCATGTCCAAGGCCCAGGTCGACAAGTTTCTTCTCGACCTGCGCGCAGCACTAGCCGTTCTCGAGAACCTTCCGCTCCCCACTCTCGCGGCTATCGACGGTCCCGCGCTCGGTGGTGGCCTCGAGCTTGCCCTCGCATGTGATCTCAGAGTTGCTGGTATGGCATGTCAACGCCCACTCCACTCGTACTGACAACTCGCAGGGCACGCTGTCACCAAGATTGGCCTCCCAGAGACACGGCTGGGCATAATCCCAGGGGCTGGTGGAACACAGCGTCTGACCCGCCTGCTCGGATTGGCCAAAGCAAAGCGGCTTATCTTCACGGCGCGAACACTCGACGCTGCAGAGGCCCTTGGTATTGGTATGGTGGCTTATAAGTGTAAGTTCGTGTTGGCTAAAGTCGCCACGCGATGTAACAGGCCTCGTGGACTATGTCTCTGCTCCTGGAGTGTCTGCGGTAGACAAGGCGCTTGAAGTCGCCTCGGACATTGCACAAAACGGTATGATTCACATGTACCCTCCCGACCCGCATATATTGAGGTGTCTATTCCTGTGCAGCACCGTTGGCCCTGCGAGCGGCAAAACAGGCGATTTCGCGCGCGCCTGAGCTTAGCCTTGATTCCGGTGGGTATTTTCTCTTTGCGTTCTCTGTGCCGGCTGTAGCATCCGCTGACAGAAGTCTCCCGCGACGCGCAGGGCTGGATTTCGAACGGGCAAGCTACGAGCCGCTTTTACACTCGCGCGATCGAGTTGAGGCGCTTGACGCGTTCCGGGAGAAGCGCAAGCCAGTCTTCCGGGGAGAGTAGGTTCGGACGCGTATATTCCAGATTCATGGTACTTTTATTCATAGGACTGGGATGCTCCGTATGCTACAATATAAATAATACATGAACTAAAGAGATGTTTACACGCCTAGAAGTAGGTGAGCGAGGATGCTGAAAACAGTTAGAAGAGAGCGCGTAGGTCGTTGAGCGCATTTGAAGACACCTTCTATAATGCAGACGTGGAGCACCGAATACGACTCCCGGTACTATATGCACTGTACGCATTGCATGATGGCTACTGGCGTGTTATTCATGGGCGCGACGTCTGGTCTAACACCCGCATCTGCCAGTGGGCAGCGGCCCAACTATGGAAGGTGGCCGTTGCGCCCACTTTCATTTGATGGTGAGGTTGCATTACCCTTCCCATGCTCCAAACGGAGTCACCGCTTACGTATCTGGCAGGACACGCTGCGTAGCCAACGACAGCATGAAATAGAAGAAAATGTACAGCTATACGGCAACGCATCATGAGTAGTCATGCACTCACCTCGTCGGCCTCAGTGGGAATCCGTCAACACTTAAGTTGCTGTGCCATTGTGAGCGTCATTATCCTGCCCCACAGTGCATATTCTACGCAAGTGAACGGTGCTACGCCCGCACCGCCATAGCCTGCGTCAACCCTGGGGCGGCGAAGCGCTTGTGTGGGGATTATATCAACATCACGGTGATGCCACGAGTAAATGTACACCTCATGTCTAGCTCTTGGGACGTATACGCAGAATAGCTCTTCCGCCTCGGACATGGGTACCCTCTATAGGATTCCGAGCCAACCAAGCACGGAGAGGTCCTGATCGGCGACGTAGGCTTCATCAGCGAAGGGCCATTCTCAGCGGTGAAGTCCAGGTATTGACGGACGCCGCCTTGTCTCTCTGGCCACTTCTGCTCACTGTCCCCTTGCTCTCGCATAGGCCGACAGTGCCGCGCTCGCAGCCCGCAGCGGATGCGATGTTGCCTATGAGATCGATATCAAGTTCGACATCGGCCTCGACGGTGACACATTCGCGACGTGCAACAACGTTAACTGGAACACGTGGGAGGCCTCGACCACCCCGGGCGATGCAGGACGGAGTGGACGAGATGCAGCGGCAGTAACCGCGGTGGGGTGTGCATCAGGGCCAGCAAGTTCTGCGAGGCGGCGCGCCAGTACTGCGCAAAGCTTGGCGGAAGCTTCTTGTGCAGCTGAAATGCAGGACGCTCTGCATGCCGAGGCGTTCTGTAGCGGGATGTGGATTGAAGTGGGTGTGCGCTGCAGTGGTCTCCTTCATATTGTATGCCTGTCAGACGTGTGATATAGTTATGTTTCTTGTGTAGTCGCTGCGCAGTGTCATGCAACATAACATGGAAGCAAGCCTCGTCATCTCTATGGGGAGTGTGGGATCTCACTGCTTGTGAAATGCATAGCTGATATCACTGAGTTTGAGCAGAAGCGAGGGGTAGGCAGAATCATCTATGTCGTGAGCGCCGCTGTTCTCAAGCGCTTCGCACAAAACCTCTCTCTACAAGAGACAGGACTTGCTTGGCCTGCCGGGACAATCAGCCCAATCAATTTTGCCCAGCAGGCACGCATGCATACCAGTCAAGCTAGGCTGGCAAGATTATTGAGTGAGTATGACGACCTGCTGGCCTTGGCCGCCATGGTGAGTTTTCAAAAGGAAGTCAAGACTCAGGTGCTACGGAGGGAAGTATGAATACCAACTGGTACAGATTTTGAATGCACAGGAAACCTGTCACAGGAGTCTGACCTGGAACATGGATGTGCTGTTCATTTTCTTGCGCACAATAATGACAGCAGTGAGTGAATGAAGCAATCGGAGCCCAGTTTAGCTTCTTGCTGTGGCTTGCGGTTGATGCATATTCAAATGAGAGCACATACCCTAAGCGCAACGTCATGACACAATGTGCTGGATTATGCCATACAGCCAGTTACTGATGCAATGATGCGCTCGAAAGCTCAAAATGTTTGATTTAGAGCAAGAGATTAGTATCTGAGCTGTGCCAAACCTGAACATTTGATGGCTTCATGCTGCCGGGAAGGACTTGCGATCAACAATTCCGTGCAGGCTGAAAAAATGACCTTCCTGTAGCACGTGACCGTGTCCCACTGGGACACGATAGACGCGATCGGCCTCAACTTGCAAGTCGACGGCGCATTTGTCTCTCTACCGTTTTCACTTCAATACATCTAACATTGTACCTTCACAAAGTCTGTCTGTCATTGTCAATGGGAGCCGGACGGAATCTGCGGTTGGTGTGAAGTTAAGTCGACAGAGCCATCTCAACACTGAGGCACTCGGTACTGTCTCACCCACGATGAACGGCTTCGGTGCAAAGATGAAACGAGAGAGCATCAACTTGTCTGAAGTCGAGCTCTACGGGGGTTGGCTCGGAAATTGTCAATATCGTCGTAGTGAATGTACCTCCGCCTACTCCTGGGAACGACTACTGACATACATCTAACCCAGGGTCTGCTCAAGGTATCCACAGACAAAGACATGGTAGATCTCTCCGGGTACATCAAATAGTATTGCTTTCACTATGGCCTCCAACTTGCTGTATATCAACCGTATCGCGACTCGATTCATGGCTACGGGGTCGGGCGATATTCTTACCGCCGTCAACTCTTCCGATACTGGCCTGCCCCTCGATCGCGTTCGAGCTGCCCGGACTCAACTCACTGAGAGGTTCGGGTTCGTTCAGCTCGACAGGTTGCTTGCTGCGGCTATTTCTCGTCAATACCGCGGTTCTGAGCCACAAGGGAAGCCCTTGGCATCGTGAGGCTGCTTGCCCGCCAGATCGATTCTCAGGGTGTTGGTGGAACCTAGGTTTGAAGAGGAAATGGAATGGGCAGCAAGCCGGGGCCACGACAGATTGTGATTCGCAATCTGGCCTTTTGGGTCACTGCTTCATCTGATTGCCGAGCTCTGTTGTCACGATCACGTGGAGCGTCAGTATCCTACACTTCTTGACGACGCCACTACGCTCCTCTCGACTTTGTGTTCACCATGTCGACAAAGGAAAATCGCGCTGCTACTGGTGGTCGCAAACGTGCGCTTGATGCTGTCCACAATGACGCCTCCGCTTCACAGGGCTCTTCCAGTATGCGAGAGTCAGCCGGCCTTGCCCTGGCAGAACCACTTCATCCATCTACAGGTATGCCCACAAAGCGTGCATCGAAGCGAAAGAGGATCACAAACGCAAATGAGCATGCGGGGGAGGAGGACAAGGCTGGAGAGAACACCACTGAGAAGACAAAGTCCTCTGGTACCTCGTTTTGTGTCTTGTTACGCGTAGTGAATACTAACAAAGTTTGTGCAGACCCACAGATAACCCCGTCTCGAGCCGACGATGCACGACGAGATGTGGATGATAATTCCTAGAGCACAGCTGCAGAATCGCAGCCGGTTGCATCATACGGGTCCGAAGCATCCGCGTCTGTACCTGCACCGAGTGCAAAATCGAAGAAGATAGATCCTTTCGACCTTACAGGCCGCGAATTCGTAGACCTGCTGATCTCTTGCGCTGAATGCGACCTTGATTCGTTGGCACAATTGAAAGACTTAGCGAAGGGCACCCGCGGTCTCGACTGGATTGGTGCTCTCACGAAAGGTGCCGCTGATGAAGCACGAAACGAACATAACAGGAGTCATAAGGAAGGAGGCTATGAGCTCATCGAACGTGAACAGTTTGAGTCCTGGTATCACAAAACCTACAAACCCACCTTATAGCTTGATATTGAGGGGGGGAGATAATAGCACTTAAGTATGGGGAGGTAATGCTGTTAAGCGCAACAACGAAGTGAATAGAACTGGGGGACAGGGTGCCCCAGGATGCTGCCTTATATACATGAGGGAAAACCCCCCAGGGACCGGTAATGGACCCCTGGTACCTAGCTGGGTAAGGATTACTAAGTATCATGTGCTCGATGATGTCATATATGATGTCATAGTCTGGCCCTGCCCTGCCCTGGGCCTAGGGTCCAGAATTGACCGGCCTATGGCCTAGTGCCTGAGCCTAGCTCCTACCTATGATGTCAGAATGATGTCATGGTCCAGAAGGAGTCTGGTTTCTATCTAGAAAAGGTCCGGCATCAGAGTCCAGCCTGATGTGTCCAGAACAAGATCATGTGTCGCTTAT